GTATGATGAAGAAGCGAATTCTTTTGTATCCGGTGTAACAAAGAAAAACATAAAGTGCAACGAAGATGAGTAATGGCCACAAAGTTCAATGACTGCATCCCCTTAGTTGTAGTCATTGTCTCATATTGGTTAATCTTTCAAACCATCGATTTCAGTCTTCTTTTGTTCACCAAAGAGGAACCCCGCATATTCTTATAAGGATTCAACCAGTAACCGGTGATTTTATTTCGTGAAGCTCTATCTTTTTGTGACTGTTCTCAGCAGTTTTGCATTCCAATCTTACTCCAGATAAAGCAGCATGTATTTGACAATTTTGCTATCTTTTTATGAAATGCACTGGAAAGTATCCAAAACTCGATCAGCACTTTTGATGGTATGAAATTTACGATGGAGAAGAAAATGAACAACCATCAAGCTCAAGAGGATTGATTTCCTCTGTAATATCTGAACTCGTCCCACCCAACCCTGAGCTATTTGAACCTCGACTGATCTCCTGTCGGATTGGATTAGGTTTGTTAAGTGAGTTGTGCCTCATTGGTTCAAAGAGTTGACTTTCAACTCTAGGGTTAAAAGTACAAATACCTCTCCACCTACCGTGGTTTGGGCAGCTAGGTAGCATCACTAACCGTCACACATTAGGTCTGACTCATAGCCTACTGAAGAAAGTTGCTGGGTGAATTTCAATTCGATTCACATTGATCGGTCACTTTTTCTCATTCGGAACACTAATCCCCTCAAAGTGCACTGCGTCAATGGTTCTCCTGACATGTTGGCGACAGTACGAAATGATCGATTGGATTAGATCAGCACTCAGAACTAAATAATATGAAATTAGTCACTATCGTGTGACTAATCAGTTTAAGTTGTTTCATCTGTCAGCAACTAGCAAGTCATCCATGTTAGTCAGTTTATGCATTGTTCTAATGTACATGAAGAACATTAAATATTCGGTTTATTATAATAACTAACAGGAGAGCATGAGGACCAAAAAATAATAGAGGTTACGCAATGCGGTAACCAAATAGAAAAGTATATGTAATCCATGACAGAATAATTAAATACCATTTTGCAGAAGTGAGAAAAGTGAAATGATTTTGCCAAGAATTTAATACAGCAGAAAGACCCATCGTAGTAGCATACTGAAAGAAAAGATTTTTGAAAGTTGAACTACCAAACACTTCATATCTATTTTGCAAATCAAATGATTAGACTAAAATTCGTTAGAGCATAGTGTTCAAACTTTAAAATACAAACAACTAGCAATAAAACCAGAGCATGCAAATGAGCTGAATTCTGAAATCTGTGTTATAACCTTCATACAATTACAAACGATAAGTTCTGTTCGAAATATCATCCAATTAATAATACAGCATCACAAAGTAATAAATATCATGAAATGACGCGCTAACATAAAACTGTTTCATATTGTTTATTTTCCTCTGTAAGAGGCAGGATACATATGTGCAAAATACAAGTTTAGGAAGCAGAAACTGAGTAAATCTAACAGGCCTTATTTCACTACAGTAAATGGTCTGATGAAACAACTTCAAAGTAGGCGAAATTAGGGATTTATCTTTTACCCAATCTAACTTTGGTGTCATGAAAAGTCTTTCCTAGTGATCATGACGGTCCATTTATTAGTGCTTTAACTGATGAATGTTACACGTATAACGGATAACTATTTATAGCCAAAACAGTATGATTTTCAAATAATTCTGGCTTCATAGTATTTACAGTGAAACCTTTTTACGTCCCCTCTCCCCTTATTCATTTAAAATACTTTCAAGAAGACTTATTTCTATTTTCATAGTGTCAAGATGGTAAGCAAATGTCATAGATTTCATGATGTAGACAGACAATCAGACTATTTTATGCCTAAAAACAGCCAACTAGGAAAATTTGTCAAGTGATAGTTTCATGCATGTTTGCTATCGATAGTCATGTTTATTATCATTTCAGTACATTGTTTTAATTAGTCATCGTAAAAGGCAAGTTTGGATTTGAATTCCTACTCTTAAAACAAAGCAAAATGTCTTCCTAATTACGTGTATCGCAGTACACAGTGATGATACTGTCTATGTATCTTTCATTAAGTTTCAATTCATCCACCGTCCTACCGAAATACATATCTGCTATCCATATACTTCATTTGTAAAAGACATTTTGAAGACATACTTTACATTTTGTACATGAATATAGCTGTTTGTTTATCTGTAAAACTTAAGGAAGTTTTTTCGTATAAACGGAAGGTTGGTGTAATATCCATTAAAGTACAACTAAATTTTTTCAAACCAACTAAATTTATATTTCAAATATCAATATCTTAGTCAGCTGTACATTCAAATTATTGATTTACAACAAAATGTTAAATGTTACTTTGACTATTCCTATCGATTTCCATTCTAAGTAAGCTAAAAGAAATTATCTTGAAAAATTCTATATTTAGTGTTGACAAAAAGTGTATTTGGGAAGAAAAAAATATTTTTGAAAATTTTTCCCATTTAAATAGTTAATATAGTATTGCAAAGCTAATGGAAAGATGAACAATCAACTTTTTTAATTTCTATTTTAGTTCAATAATTAAGTATGCTTTTTAATGAAGATAGTGTACAGTTTCGTAAGTAATCAACTAAAAACCGTGCAATTTGTCTCTTTTTAATTGTTTAATTGAATGATGTATAACTGTTCAACATTTCGAGCAGATCGAGTAAAGGTAGTTATTTCAAGTATAACAGAAATTACTCTGGAAAGTAGGTGGATTAATTTAGATGACTGATCTCAACTTTACATAGTAAGGTACTCATCATACCTAAACCAATCCAACTGAGTGAAATTTTCAGAAGTAATTTACCAACTAAACAGTTCTGAAATAGGTTGGAGATAATTGGCTTGAAGCTCTTGACTTAGGTTTAGTACTTCTTGGCATTCGTCAGCATGGCGTAGCTACAAACCCCAGAACTGATGTCGCCTGTGAAACTCGAACCCCTTCTACCCATTGCTGCTGAGTTATTCAAGTTTTCATTCCAACTGCAATTATCTTAAAATTAAAAACAATCGGTCAACCAAGACTATCTATTGCTCTCCCATTTTAATTCTGTTTGATTTGAATTGCGTACAGACAACTTGATTAGGTAGCCAGTATATTGATGAACTAAAACTCACGTAGCGCTCATACCGACGACAAGGAATAAAACTCAAGATGACTGAGATGAAATTGAAACATAAGTACCAGTTCGATCTTGTAGCTTAGTCATTGTAGTCCAGGGTCGTTGATCATGAGAGGGCTACTTCGAATCATGACTCAGTCCTGAGTTCTACTGCGAATTCAGACATCTTATGCTGATATTTTTGTCTTATGATGGTATATGACCTGACTTTCGGAAAAAAAACTGATTTGCTAGTCATAAGACTTGAGCACCAGAGATTTCGGGTTCTTATATCAATTACTTCACCATTCATTCTCCCCCATTACACTCTTATGGTTCCTTGATCTTTAGCATAATATACGATTTTATTCTTGGGCAATAGAAGAAACAATGAAGCCCCAGCATGGACGCCGCTAGTTTGGATTCTGAGTTTGCGTGGTGTCACCTCAAGTCATGGAATCGTCTAATCTCTCGTTTGCTATTTATGATATCTATATCTACTGACTGATGCTAACCCAGCACAAATATCCTTCATTCCATGATATCACTTTGAACGCTGACCACAGTCGTTCTAAGCGCAGAGCTGACGGTGGAACAATTTGAGCCTTGGTAACTACAGTAACAAGGTATGCCAGGACACTAATTCCAGTGTTTCAGAATGACATGACCCGACGAATAACGATGGCTATCGCTTACAAGTACGTAATACATCACATAAGAATTACCGACATGGTGTCTCCATTGAGTCCTACCAATTGTGAAGGGATAGCAAGACCGACAATCCGTGTCTCATGAAGAATAGGTTTCATGGGTGTAAAACATCACTGTCCGCAGCCTTTTACAAACACGTTAACATCATAACAGTATCAAAGGTGAGCCAGGTTAGCATACTCCACCCTACCTTTTTTTATGAGCGACTGTAAATCTCTTCAGCTATACAAAGTTTTCCAAAACTTCCAGTGTTTCATAACCAAAAGTAAGTACAAACGCAGGCTCTTGTCAATCTTGCAAAAACGTACTTAGCACTTCGGAAGTGCAACACACATACAGTACTTACACACTGACTGCTAGCTGGTCGAGTGCTAGTCGAATAGCCTATTTGTTGTCATACAGTAAGCACGTTGTCTACATGCTGAAAGTTGGAGTTTTTCACACATCACTATGTCTATGCCACAACTGCACACCTTCAAAGCTGCCTCAAGAATATCATTAACCGTAAAGTTATAGAGAAATAGTGAGGTCGAGCTTTTCGTTATGTAAATAATGACGAACTCAACAATAGGAGGTGCTAAAGATGGATAATACTTATGCTAAGCACTTGATTAAGTACAAGTCTACAACAGTTGAAGAAATCCGTGAATAAATCTGGAAAACCGCTTGTCTGATGGCCGAATCAGAGAATGGAAATACCACGAAAATACTTGTTATAGAAAATCTGTAACCTGATTTTATTTCTCGCTTTCACTAGTAATTTCTCGTAGCCTTACTGAAGGATTGAGTAAAGTATTGAATGACACGCTCACTCTTTGCCAAATAGGTGCATATCTCTTACGCGACATACTTGTATCATATTAGCCAGTGCCAAGTGACTGTTTAATTTCTTTACCGGCATTTGGTCAGTGATCACTCTATCAAAGTGTAAAGTGCATGTTGGTGAGACGGAAGTTGAGAAGATCCCTTCAATGTATAATCCATTATTATATATCGTTTTCGTTAAGATAAAAGTTCGTTTTGGAGGTTCAACAAACTTGGGTGTTCATGGTTCATTTGCTTTAAAACTAGGCATACCATCAAACACAGAACTGAAGAGTATTAATTTTACCGAGACCGTTTATACAAAAGTCAACAAACATTCTAGTTTTCACCATTAGTATTTTGTTTGATGTTTAAATTGGTACACAATGTTTTACGTTAATCTCACATGTGAAATATCGATGTTTAAATTTTTTCACAGTTTATAAGCTTTATGACCTCGGAATTCGAAAGTTGTAAAATGAAAAATTGATTTATTGCATTTACGTTTAGATGGTGCACAGGCATTCGGGTAATATGACTTCATATGTATTGATAAGAATTTAGTCACTACCCAGTCACTGTCATATAACCTACCCTTGATTGATTGCATGTTTTCCGAAGTTCAAACCATGGTTATTTGACCTTGATCACATACTGATAGATTCTAAAGGTGATTCAGAAATTATTTAAATAGCCAATTAATGTTTTGTGTTTTAAGAAAAAATTATTTTTAAAATCTAAAATAAAGAAACCTAACTAGCTATTTCAATCATTGTTAGGATAGCTTTTAAAGTTACTTTATAAATATGTAGGTAACTATTCACTCTGTATACCATTAGCTGTTCTGTTTTTTGACTTTGAGTCAGTCCGACTATAGTCACCGTTCAATCACAGTGAGTCAAAAGAGTATAGTCGTAAATTAATGCAACAGTTTAGATACTTAGTTCAGTGCATGCTTCTTAACTAGAATACGGTATTATAACCACCCAGAACATAGTTGTTGCAAATGTTCTGGAAGAAATTATGAGCCGAGTCTGAGTTTGCAGATTGGCTTTTCTGGTGAGTGCAGACAGACACAAAAATTAGTCTCATAGTTTCCTGATTTTTATACAAATACGTTACATTCAACTTAACTTCAAAATTGAAACGCACATAAAGCTTTAGATGCGTAAAATTATTGCTTTATATATTAGTATTAGCCGCTGTTTTCATTGAACTTCAAAACAGAATCAACGAAATAGTTACCATTACTATACCTTGAATAATTTATGTTCATTCGACTTCATCTAATCATAGTAATAACTGCTTCAATCATAAATTCTATAGATGCTTTATACTAAGGTTTTGTCTGGCAACGAAGTTAACCTCAGACTACATCCTGGTACTTACCACACAAACTTTGAAACAGTAGTGAAGATGACTGAAATCTCACCCAAATCTGTGACCTACAGAAACCAAAGTGGGAGAATATATCTACCAGGTTATTCAAAATTCACACCATTAATCACTTATTAGTTTCCTTTTCTCACTTTGAAGTGACACAATTACTACACAACATTTTTCATTTATATTTCTGCCTGTGATTTTTGAAGTCACAGCAGGTGGTATTTTAACTCTTCACAATTAATCATATCACTGGGAAAAGCCTCAGCGACAGAATGTGAATCCACTAATAATTACTCCAGAAAATTAAAAACTTTAAAATCTGTTTTTGAGACAGAAAACAAGGAAAAATGCAGTGAAGAGTCATTCCTTCAAGCATTGTCATTTTCAAGCTGTACTAATGCTTCAAAATATTACCTTTACTCCGAAACGAAGAAGGTATGCTTCCTGGTATTTGACGATACGACGACAAACTGATAGACAAATGTATCCTTACTAAGCGAACTGCATAATCGTTGTTAAATATATGGCTTACCAATAAGTGAGCAGAAAAACCCAAAAGGTCAGATAGAAGATAGCACGAAATCAGTTTTTAAAATATTTATATTAACAAGGTATTTTTGTTCTGATGCAAACTGTTTCTCGTTTGTGACTAAATTTGTCTCTCAATTTCACATCGAAGTTGTTAACTGAATCATTGTTGATCGATTCAACGCTTATCACAATCGATAAGAATGATCTAACTCCAATTGTAGATATGTGGAAGATTTTACTACTAATAAAATCAAAGAAGGAATAGCAAATGAGTTAGTAGACCAAGTCAGATAACTGTGCGATGACCCGGATATGGTTGTCAGAACTAAGTGGTACTCGAAACTTTCTCCAGTAATTACTGCTGTATCACTATGAAAGCTGTTAATGAAGCTAACCTAAAATCCAGTGTATTTGTTTGAGTGTTATTTTGGGGGTGGAATTCATCCGTGTTATGTAACGATGGTTTTTCGTCAGTGTTAATTACCCACTGTGTCGAATATTAGATTGGTTATTACTACTCAATTATTGCAATCAAAGTTTTCATTTTGCATTAGATAATAAAATGAATAATTCGCTTTACACAATGGGACTCTAAAGTCCACAGAATCGAAAGTAGGCATTATCTGTCAGCCAAATCACAGATCATTAGAGCTTCCGGATATTTTTCAACAAAATTGATGCCATTCAAGGCTTTTCAGGGTGAGATGAGTTTTCTAAACTGTATCTAATTGGTTACAGTGAAACTTGGGCACCGAGGCTGAGTAGAATTCCAGATTAGATTGTTTATTTGGAAGTACTTGTACTTGTACTTCATGACGTTCGGAGCACAATTTATTGATCATATTCATATCAAAGTAAGCATATGAATTTCAAATTTTATTTATGTAGTCCAACAGTTCTTCATTCGTTTGTTTTAATGCGAGTATCGTAAACCAGTTTTCTGCAACACGTAATGAGTCATTCCCATCACATGTGTTAGGTGTTGATTAAATGAACAAAGATCCTATAATCAACTTCTTACTCCACCTAGCTGCAATGAATTTCAGAACTGTCACCGTATCCCAACCTATAAAGTGGTTATGGGTAAGTGAACGCAGAGTGATAGCCATGACTTTCACCAAATTGGTTATCTTAGTAAATGTTACGACCAAAATCCAAGTACTTCTGTTTGAACACAGGAAACAATTCAACGGAACCAAGCTAACGCGGTTGAGACAAGTTACTGCATTCTACCCTACAGTTTCCCAAACTTCCTTGAGTCAAGCACAAATATTGTTTCAAAAAATCAAACCGCAGTTTGACGTGATAAATCTGTGGTACTATTAAACAGTAACAAGTAATGTCAAAATTACAAAAGTACCTCAACAGTACCACTGGGCAAAATGCTCTCCGGCATGAATGCGTACTATACAGGACAAAAATTGGTTGAGCAAACACAATTGTTAAGTACCTGAGAATCATTAGGAAGATTCCCGAAAAAAATGGGAGCAAAACTCTCTCTACAAGAATCCAACCAATCAATATACGTTTCCAGTAGATAGTCTAAAGACAAGCAATCACTTCACAATGCGGGGTTAAGATGAGCCGAAAAAAAGTGTCGAAAACAGAGAAACAACGCCATATAGTCAACATTCCAGCATCACACAATAGCAAAGTGAAGCGTTAATGATAAGTCTCAGCCAAAATAAAGACAAATAATGAGTGTTAAGTCAAAGAAGACGGGCAGATGACAAAATAATATTACATTGGTTAGGGTTACAAAAATTATATGCATAATGAAGGTGAAAATATCCAAACAAATATCAGTACTGTTAATGATGGATCGTGGCTAGCAGAGGAATCCAGGATGCGCATTTCGTCCTATTTGGAACTCGTCAGCTGGATGTACCTGCTTCCCAGTGAGTGATGTTGTTCCCGCCGGGATTCGGACTCGGGAGCGATCGCTTCAAATGCCAGTGGGTTATCCACTACTCCACCGAGCCACGATAGCCACTTCTTGTGTGACGGGTAGAGTTTTTAGTTTAATTGTTTTTATATGATACCGTAGTTGATTGGACCGAACTGATAGGTCTCTGTTGGCATATGGGCTCCTGTGCGGATGCCTCGATATTGCCAGCGTTCCATTTATGTCAATGCTGAATCGTTCACAAGAGCCTACATGCCAATAGAGACCGATCAATTGGGTCCAATCAACTACGGTATCATGCAAAAACAATTATGCTAAATATCAATACTGTCATAAAGAGTGCTCAGGAGGGATTTTTATATCATTTATTCCATTACAGTTTGGTCTGACATCGTCCATGTACATAATGGAATTGATACAGCTGCTTTATACAGTGTTGACGATCTTATATTCTTATACCTGAAATTCTTATACATACACTCCAAAAATATAGTTAAAATGACTTGATCATTGTATTTCTTCGTAGACAATGATTATTGCACAAACTGATCTGTTTTTTAGAGACTGAGCCACCTTATAACACCAGCGTAAAATTTCAGTCATTAGCTTCTGTATTTCTTTAGCTAATGAAAAACATAGTTATTAAAGGTAGAAGAAATGTATAATTTATGGGTCTTTGACCGTCGATACCTTGATGTCGCTGATGTATTATCGGACTGTCAAGCGAAGAATGTCGATATCAGACGTGAAATGCATAATAAAGGAAGTTAAGCATTTTATATATAATGAACTAAAGTCTACTTCAATAAACAGTGTCATTCTGAGTAATATTGAGAGTTCCAGCGTAATCAAATCAAGGTATGGCAACAAGTTAATAGTTCATTTACTGTTGATTTAAGCCATATAGTAAAGTGTAGACTTTGACAGAACATTGAAAATTAACTTTCAGAGATTTAGGCGACATAGATTTTCAGTTAAATCTATCCTAGATAGAATAATTAACTGACATCATTTTATCGATAAAACACTTTTGTATAGTTTATCAAAACAAATGCTAAAAGAATTCGTTCAATCCACTTCAAGAAAAAGTGAGGAAAAGAGTCAATGAGAGAAAAATGTTAGGAGTGATAAAGGCTGATTCTATCTTTTACTAATACATAGATAGCAGATAAACTAGGTCACTGACTAATAATCTAACTTGAACAAAATCGTTAATCATAAATAAAACGAAATGAACTTTATTTATGAACATTCTATTTTCTTTTTGTTATTGCTTAAAACACGAAATTAATTGCCAAAAAAGTCATTCTAATCATATTAGCTTGTAGCCATTATCTAGGCGAAAATCAATGCATCAAATGGTTGTATCTCACACTACACTATTAGGATTCACCACCTCTTTTTAATCAAATCAGCTGACGTTTACATTACTACTAGTAGTAGTAGCGGTGATAGTAGTCTAATTTTCCACTGCTTCCTATCTTTATCTCACTATACGATGAATAGTATAGCTGCATTATTTGTTGTCACATGAAATAAAATCAAAAGGAGGAATAATTAGAGTAAAAAGAATGAAAAACTAACTGTGCAGATCATGATAGACACTTATCTTGAGGGTAGGACCGAAACTCAGGAAATAAACTATCGAGTTTCCAAGCAGTAAGCCACATGTTTAAATTTATCTCTAGGTACTTAGATTTTGACAGCCAAGTAGAAAGTAGTATTAACTCTCATAGCCAAATGAATCTGTTCTATTATAGACTAGTTTGTAGGTGAGGACAACTCTGTAAGGCAACTAGAAATATCAGTTCAAAAACTTATCTAGAGAACACTGTTAATTA